CAACATATGTTTATAGTGAATAAACTCTTCAATATAGCAACTTTACCCTTTGGGATGGGGAGTTAGAAGCAGTTGGGGAGGGAGGGCAGATAGATAGGCAGAAGGATAGGGGAAGGTTAGCAGTGAGGCCAGAGGACACAGGCAGGAGAAGCAAAAGGAGAATAAAAGAAAAATAAGGAAGAAATCTGAACTAGAGCCAGAACAGGAACAAAAAGGGAGATCAAGAACGATGTGGGACACCAAGAGAGTGAGTGTGAGAGAGAAAGGAAAGAGAAAAGAAAGAAAAAAAAAACAGAAAAATAAAAATTTGAAAACAGTAGGAAAAAAATTAAAAATAAGAGCAAAAAATCCCCAATAATAATAATTTTGAAAATAACAAATAAAAAATAAAAATGAAAATGAAGGTCCTCCTTCAGGATATGTCTCTGCTGTCACAATAGACAATGTGGGCAGCAGTGTGCAGATATAAGTCAGTAAGTCTAAGCAGGCCAGTTGCAGATCCGTGGGATTCAGGCAGATTTCTGATGGCAAGTCCCAAGTTGACCTCCCTGTCTTCCTGCAGGGTTGAACTCTGCAAGGCTCCATTGCAGGTTCCAGCTACCTTTCCCCTGAAGATAGTCCAGGTTCCAATGGGAGGTGATGATCCCTTCAACTTACAAAGTATGGTGGTCTGGTATCCCCTATGTCTTTCTAGTATGGAACCAGGTAGAGGTATAGTCAGGAGGCCAGAGGTGGTGGGGGTTGAGGGGGAGGGGGTGTGACTAAGCAGGTCACTGCCACCATGGGCATGGCCAGTGGCAAGGGGTCTTCACCTTCTGGCTGGTCCCAGCTGGGCTGGTTGGAGCAGTGCAGCCCGGGAGTTCTTTTACCTTCTATTTCTTGTCAGGTTTTTGTCCTACCTTTACTTAATTCTACAGACGTCTTTATACTCCCCAATAAGATCCTTTGTATCACTTCTCTCTCTTCCTTCTCATATCAAATTACTTTCTTCTGCTGAGGAATAAAATCCCAAAATCATACATTTCTTTTGACCTCTGTTTCACTACCCAGAATTATGTCATTTTAAATGAATACCAAAAAGTTGCATTCAGAGTCAAACTAGTGTTATTGCTTTATTTTAATTTTTACTAAATTCAGTTCTAGTAAAAGTGGATTGTAAGTTTTAAAAATGTCTAAAATATATGAAACAGAGCTCTGGGAAAATCTTCCAAAATTACACTAAAGTGATCACCCTTAGGACTGGCACATAAAGAGCTTTTGGCTTCTGCTGGCATTAACATTCCTATATTCAGTGGATATTTTAAATATATCATAATGGAAGAGATCTCATCAGTAGGATACATGCATCTTTCAAGTAGTTTTTAATGATAAAATTTCACCAATAGATCCATCTCTATATACCTTTTGTTCACAGGATAATGAAACTCTTTAGTCTGGCATTTAAAATCTTCGATAATTAGAAACTACCTGTTATGGACTGAATGTGTCCTCCCCAAATTAATATAGTGGGGCCCTAAACCATCAGTATGGCTATATTTGGAGATGGGACTTTTAAAGAAATAATAAAATTTAAATGAGGTCATGGCATGGAGACTGGAGTTGACAGGATTAGGGTCCTTATAAGAGACCCACTGAGCTCTCTCAGAATATACACACAATGTCAAAGATCATGTGAGCACACAGTGAGAAAGCAGCTGTTTGCAACCTAGGGGGAGAGTCCTTGTCAGACACCAGCCATGCTGACATCTTGATCTTGGACTTTCCATCCCCAGGCCTGAGAAAATAGCTTCTACTGTTTAAGCCACCCAATTTGAGTATTCTGTTATATGATTTTGAGCATATGAATATACTATCTCTGTTACTAATTGCTCCCTAATGCCTCTTATTTCAGAAAATGTACTCTGTTGAATTCTACTACACATGAAACATTTACCTGAACATGAAATCAGATTCATAAAAAGTGCTTTGTATGAAGTATTATTTGCAATCACTTGTAGTCATGTTGCCTTGTAAAAATTATGCTTACCCTTGAAGAGTAATGTACTCTTGGGAGGTTTCAGCCCAATAGCCACTCAGCATTGCAGCAAAATAACTAGATCTGGCACTTAAAATGGCCCTAAATGAAGAAAACACAGGTAAATATTTATGTTATGCAAAATGTAATTTTAATGAACTGTTCATCTTTAAACATAAAGATGTTCTCTTAAAACATAAAAATCTATTTGTCTTGTTTGTTTTCACTGGTAGGATTATTATAACAAAAAGTATAAGCTTACATTTATGCCTAAGTATTTTGTTGAAAACATTAATTCGAATGTCCTTATTTTTTCTCTTTAGGGCTCTGTAATTTTAATAATAACAATTAAAACTATTTCCATTACTAAGAGACTAATATATTACAAATCAAAAAATAAAGACCAAAGATGTTACTTAATATTTTGAGGAAATAGCAATTGATAGGTCTCCCACTAACTCAGCAGCTACTATGTATAGTAGCTGCCCTCTTCCTATTGTGCCTTGCCCCCTCCCCTGTGTGATGTCACGCCAAGATGGTTGCTCCCACCAAAGAACAAACCCTTCTTCCCAGCATGCCCTTGTTCCCACCTAGAGAGTAACCTAATACTCCCTCACCTCCTACCACCTAGTGAGGTCACCGGCTCCTCCATTCCCTAGCCACTACCTCACTCAACCCCACCTCAGCTCCTACAAGTCCTACCCCCGATCCTATAAAAGGCACTTGCTGTCCTGGCCATATTGCTTTTTGTCTCTCCTTTGTTCAAAGACAGCCTGGCAGATCTGTTCCCCTAATAAATGCTTGTTGTGGCCTGGTCTGGTCTTGGTTTTCAGCCTTTTACCTGACAGCAATGAGAAAGAAACTACAAATATTTGTCACTTAAATTTTTCAGGGGCTGGGGATTTAGCTCAATGGTTCCGCTGCCTGCCTTGCAAGTGCAAGGTCCTGAATTCGATCCCCGGTACCAAAAAAAATTTTTTTTTTCAAAAATTAAAAAAGACTACTGTCAGGAGCAATGCTACATAATTTTAGGGAAAAATGTGATTAGGCCTAGTTCTCCTGCCTATAGGCCAGCTATGGCATTTCAACACGATTTAACCTTGGCCTCCAGTCACAACTGAGACCTCAAAGATCCGGTGATGCTGTGATCATCCAGGGCAAGACCACACCTGCAGGAGACACCCTGGGAGGAACCAAATCTTCATCTGCATAGTTCCTCATTGATCTAGGAATTCTGCCACTCCCCAGTTATCTGCTACATTTGTTTCTCCTGTTGTACTAATTAAAAGGTGTGGCGAGCTGGGGGGGGGGGGGGCGGCGCTTCTGTCTTTGCTGCCCAGAGCAGTTCTGATCAGCCCCAAAGCTCAGTTTCTCCAAGTCTCATTTTTTCTACCTTTCCTGTATAATAAGTTAATTCGCCTTGTGCTGCTGTGGCTCGCAGGAGGCTAGGACTCACTGCAGAGGTTCTAGTAACATCCCCTTTCCCTGTTCCCTACAGACTACAATGGTAAGAATTTCAAGTTCCAGTTCAGAACTCTGTGCTCGGAAAAGGATATTTTCTTAGGTTTGAGAAAATGATGAGAGAGATTTTCTTTTCAATTTCTAATCTACTTTCTCAAATAAAATATTCATTCATTCATTCTTTAATCCAACAAATATCTAGTGACTAATATTTGGTCCTAGGCATTATTCTAGGTGTTGGGAATACAGCAGTAAATGAGATATACAGAACACCATTATAATCCAAAGGAGGACGAGATGGAAGAATGAAGAGAAAAGAGAGAAAAGAAAGATAATTCTGGCAGTGGCTTACTAGGTTATCTCAGACCAACCTTCCTTCCTGCTGAAAACAGGTAGGAAAGATGCTTATATATATTTTATATTC